AAAAGAGTCACAGAAGTTGTCTGGAATCTGCAGGAGGGCACAGTGGGAGAAATGTAAAAGGACTTGTGGTCATCTTTAATCTGATTCACTGTGAGGTTTTCCAAGTAAGGCTAATTTTAGAGCATGTGACAGGAGCCAAAGTCTCAATGTGCTTTTGAGGTGGATCAGAAAAGGCTTCTCATGCTCCTGCCTTCTCCAAGTGAGCTGGGCCAAGAAATCTGAGAGAAAATTGAGAAGACCTGGCATTATGTTCTATAGCTACATGGCTCCATAAAGCCTCAAGGAACCCCGGGTGAGGCCTTTGCAAGGGGTTGGGTTGTAGGAGTTTCTAGCTGACTATCTGTTAGGAGGAGAGATGTGGTCAGAAGGGAGTAGTACTGGGGATGTGGCCTGGAAGGGTTTCTTTCTTCCTGGTTTTCCTTTCATCTTTCTGCTTCCCAGTCACCATGATGTGCGCGGATAGAGCAGCTTCTCCTCCCACTATCCCCTCTGCCCTGTGGTACTCCTTAGAGCCAGCCAACCACAGACGGGAAATGTGGACCAACATAGACCTTTCCTTCTTTCATTTGTGAGTGTCAAGTATTGCATCCAGCAGTGAGAAAGTGATTGAGACATGCAGCTCTATTCTGCGGCTTGAAGCCAAGAGCAGAAGCAGAGCCTTTCAAGGTTTATAGATGGTTTAGAATCAGAGAAAGTAGAGACAGATCGAGACAGAGGAGAACTGCTGGCTCTTTGTCCAGCAAGGCCTTCTCCCCATTCTGGTTTTGGTAAACTCCTATGGCACCTCAGTACCAGCTCTGCGTCCCCCCCCCTCCTTTCTTTGAGCTGCACTGGCACGTGCACTATTGTACTCCACTTCCTGTCTGGTCCATGCTCTCAGCCAGAGCAACAGTGAACCTTCTGGAGGCCCTCAGTATGCCCTGGATTTGGTAGGTCACAGGGGCCTCTTTCTAAAGTGCCTCTGTGTGGGGCAAATCTGCAAGTGCACTGCTCTCGTGACTTTGGGGATTGGAGCAAGTATAATTATTAACCAAGACTCATTCCACTCCTAGCATATTTTCTCTCCAGGAGCTTGGCTTCCACTTTGACTACACAGTCTCAGGTCACCTGACAGCTATTTTGGTGACACTGCAAGGTCACCCCTGACAGGAGTTCACAGCACAATCTCAGAACCTGTCTGCCTGGCTTGAGCTTGGGGTCCACAGCTACAACTCTGGGCAAAGTGGCTTCCCTCGTAGAGTACTGAACTTCCTACCCATTACATCTTCCAATCAGGAAGACCCCCTGCCCCAGGGTCCTGGAGAACAACAAAGGGCCTTGTGCCAACACCTAGAATGGACCAGAATGTGCTCAATACTGAACAAATGTTAGCTTCCTGCCTAGCTGACTCCTATACTACCCACCTGTCCTTCAGCACAAATCTTATTTGCATGTCTATCAGGCACTGGCACTCAAGAGGGAAGAAGCCCCCAGCATCCCTGACCTCAGAGGGTCTCTGTCTGTGACCAGCTGGGATGAGGAAGTAGATGAGAATGTGTAATGCTTGTGACCCACAGGTCATGTCCAAGGCCTCTGGTGCACTGGGGAAATGCAGGCACTGGGAACTGTTGTGTGGGAGCAGCACCCACTGCCCACAGGGCCATAGTGGCCAGGCTTACTGGCAGAGCTCCCCATCTCCACTCCATGCAACTTCTCAGGACATCTTCCCTGAAGTTCTGGCTTCTGTCCATCTTTCTCAGACAGGCATCTCCAAATTTGGTGGCTTTGGTCCCAGGACGAGGCTCAGAGGCTTCTGCCACCTTGGAGAGCAGGCTCAGAGCAAGCCACAGGAATGTCACAGTCACATCCTCCAGGAACACACTGGCTCCTGTGCACATGACTGAGCAGACTCAAGGACTTCCCTGTGTTGGGATGGTTCTCTGTCCCCACCCTCCCTGAGCTCCCCCACCCCGGGTTCCCTTGGGACTGCCCAGGGAGAGTCAGCAGGCCCATCACAGCCAGCCCCTGGGCAGGGGGTGGGGCCCAGGACATCCAGGATTCCAGAGGTTCCCTTGTCATTGTCTGGATGCTATGATCCCACATGGATATGCTGGGTATCACTCCAAGTGGGGACAGTCAAGAACTGGCAAGCCATTGCCTCCTCCTCTTCCCAGTGTGCAGTGACCCTGAGGGCTATGTGCAGGGGGTAAAGGGGAAGCTGGCAATACCAAAGCCAGGTCTCCAAGTTGGAGAACAACTGCCCTACAGCCAGGCCCAGCCGGGGGTCAGCCTTTGCAGCTCTGTGTTAGGGCGCTGCTTATGTGTTGCTGCAGCATTAGCCTCTTCCTCTCCTGACCAACACAGAGCCAGATCACATATCTGACCTGAACAATGACTTGTAATGCTGTGTGGACCCACACAAATGACTGGCTGTCTCTGTGCCTTGGTCCTCTTTGAGGACAGTAGCGCCACCTAGTTCGCTGGGCTGTCAAGGGAACATGAGGTGGAAACACGTGTTACGAGCTCGGTAACACAGACAGGACCCAAAAAGTGCTGCTGCCGACTCTGCTGAATACCGGCCATGTCCTGTAACGCCCATTTTACAAAGTAAGAGGCCAAGGTGCGGAGAGTCACGTCTTCTCCTTAGGTCACGCGGTCAACAAGCCACAGGACAGTCACGGAGAAGGTGTGGCAGTGAGAAGCCAGGGGAAGCTAAAGTCCTGAGCTCCACACAGGCCAGGTCACGGGCTGCACGAACCAGACACCCTGAGCACACATCAGCCATACAAAGGGCTCACGTTTCTCCAGTTGGGCCCAACTTTGGCTTGACCTGTTTTCTTAGCTGATTGAGTGTGATACTGATCTTATCTGGAAGGTGTTGGACTTGTCAGTGTCAAAGGTAAACTCCTTTTGAGTTCTGCCCTTCCCGGTGGGGGCGTGTCCTTCCCCAGGGGCTATCAAACTGTGGTTTGAAGGAAATTTTAATCAAGGTGGCTGCCGTGCGCCCCCTGGTGGTCATCACCACTAGATGCTCTGGTTGTTGCTCTTGAGCTTGATGTGACCCTGGCGGCTGCAGGCTGTTAGTGGAGGTAGATGTGGGTGCAGGCCTTTGGCTCCCAGGGCCTTAGGGTGCCACTGCATCCCATCCACTGTTGGTGGAAGCAAAGTCCTGACTATACATACGGATACATACAAACTGACTCCCAAATTGGGACTAAGCTTCAGGAAAGCCAGTCCCAGTGCCTGACACTACCAAGCTCACACCACGAGGCACTTCATCTTCAGCTGGGGGACACAGCAGACCTGTATCTCTGCCTCTTGCGATCGCCCCAGCCTATGGCTGCCTGTGGCTGGCTTGCACAGGGTGTCCAGTGAAGACAGGTCATGTGGCTGCTCTTAGGTCTCTGGGCTTTTCTGGGGCCTGTCACTGGGCTGCCCTGCCCTCCTCATCTCTCACCAGCAGCGTCCACAATCGGGCGGCTGCATCCCTCACCCACAGCAGTCAGTGTGTTTCTACTCAACTTATGTCCTTGGTCGGTGTGGCTTTTGTGTCCCACGGGGCTTGGGCACTAAGCCCTGGGGATCCATGACCTTGCTGACTCCTCTTTCTCACCAATCCTTGCTCCCCACAGCTGTCCAGGCAGCTCACATCTCAGGTAGAGGCTTTATGTTCTGACCCCTCCTTGGCCCCACAGTGGAATGGATGGAGAAACTGATGCAAGGCCCAGGGGAGGTTTGTGGTGAGCTGGTCAATCTGAATTAGAGCACACGGCTGAGTATGTAGGTCTCTCTTCTTCATCTCACACAGCTGATGTGGCCTCTACAGATGTGGCCTCTTGCCTGAGGCAGTCAGGCTGGCTGGAAACCAGGCAGAATACAGGCAAAAAAGCATGGGGCACTCAGCTTCCCAGAGCTGCGCTGACCAGGGCCTTGGCTTCCCTGAGAGCCCTAGGTCCCCTATCTTCCATATTAAACTACTGCTGACAACAGTGCTTACACAGCAGGGCTTTACTATCTCACAGCTCTGCAGGCTGGAGTCTGAATCAGGGCTCATGGTGAGTGGGCTCTGCTAGGGCCTTCTTCCTGGCTTGCAGCAGGCTGTGTACTTACATGGCAAACAGGAGAGAGGGAGCAGGAGCACATGCTCACTGACATCTTCACTAAGAGCACTAATCCCAGTACAAGGGCCTCTCTAATCTTAACTGTCTCCAAGACTTACTAATCTTTAGCAACCACTACAGCAGGCACTAAAGTGTCAGCATATGCACTGAGAGGGTACGATTCAATCCTTAGGATGGGCATTGAGTGATTCCAAACACCAGAGGACATCAGGACATCATTCAGCCAGCACACCAGCATCTCCTTAGCAGGAACTGCCTGACTCTGTATGGACTCCAAAGTTTCAGATGGAGACAACCAGAACAACAAGGCTGTGACTTCTGACACAGAAGAGGCTTCATTTTGTTCTCTGGGACTCAGGGTTGGCCTGGACAGGCCCAGTGGTGGGCACTTTAGGGGGGAGCAGTGAGAGGGCAAACACATACATGGGAATTACCATTCACAGGCGATGCTGTAACAGTGCTGGTGTTTGGATTTGAGCCCCAGAGGCACTTGAGGGAAGTGAAAGGAGCAGAGGCAGAGGGTGGTGTGCAAACTGCACAGCACCCCGCACACAGGAAGGCACCATTAACATGTACTATAACCATGTCTGAGTCCCAAAACTGGGTTTCTAGATCTATTTTTTAAGAAAAAATGCGAATGAGTGATTTGTGCAACTTCATATCAGATTCGTGTCCATGTGATGTCTCATGCATGGCAGATAGATGCCACCTCGCCCTGTGTGAGGAGGTCCTGGCCAATCAAGTGCTGCAAACATCTGGCCCATGTCCCACGGGCCTCCTGAGAAAAAGCATCCAGCTGCTGGAAGACTGGAAACATCTGCAGAGTGGAGACATAGCAGGCCGCACCAGCCAGGGCCTGGTGTAAAGTACACAAAACAACAACAAAAACCAAACACAACCTAACGATAAAATAATTCTCTTTTATTCACTTTGATTCGGATCATTGGAAACACTCAACAATAAATAAAACAGAGCAGAGGCTAAGAGAAGCAGACTCACTAATGTCACTCGAAATCCACCCAGATCGATCAACGCTCAGCTGGGAAATAAACTTGGAAGGGGGCACAGGGGAGGAGGAAGCAGACTTCAGATCACCAACCACTAAGCGACAAAGGTTGCAGAGAAGAAAAAGTGCTCAAGAAACTTTGGCTTTGAAGGGGACCTGGTGAAGGACTGAAGCGACTGTGCGGAGGGAGGGCTGGGGCTCCTGAGCAGGCTGGGGCAAAGCTGCACCCCCGGGCCAGAGGCCTGGCAGGCAGGGGAGCTGAGGCACCAAGGTAAACGCGAGCGGCCAGACTGGGGGGCTGGAGGAAAGGAGGACACTGTCGGAGGACTCACTGCCAGTGAGTTTCAGGACCCTGCCCGTGAGTTTCAGGTTCCTGATTCCCCACTGACCTGCTGCAGATTTTGCCTGCCTGACAGGTCCCTCGCATGTCCTCCAAATCCTGCTTTCTTTTGCACAGTGCAGGTGTCAGGTAGCAGCCCAGAGTGCTCCTGACCAACAAGAAAAGCAGAGGAGTCTCATTCTCTCAGAACCTGCCACGCAGACCACAAGGAGGAGGAGGAGCAGCAGGCTGTACTATGCAGCCATGCTTGCTGCAAACCGAGTGTCCACAATGGACACGGTAGTGTCCCTGAGCTCTCTGGAGGGGTGAGGATAGTTTCTGGTTTCTGGGGTTACCCAGCTGGTGCAGCCTGTTGGCCCAGGCAGTAGCCACTCTGGGTCAGGCTTCCCAGGAGAAAGCATTTCCCACCAGTAGCAGGTAAGGGGAAGAGCGTTCCCTTTTCCACGTTGCTGGTTTTCAGGCTCCCTTGAAACGAAAGGGCAAAGCAGGCATTGAAGTCCTGAATGTTCTCTGTGGTTCTCTCCACCTTTGACACAGATGCTAGTCACGATTCTCACAGAGGTAGAATTGGCCCTTAGGGCACCCTGCTGGCCACAGCTGAGATTGGGATTGCACTCGGGCCCCTTAGTCTGGCCTGTGCCTGAAATAGCTACCAGGTCTTCGCCATCCTCACTGGTCTCTCTTCTGGCTTCATTGTTTTTCGTCCTCTTCTTCCGGAATCTGACAATTCCCCAGCTGAGTTCAGCCCACACAGTTGGTTGGATCACATCTGATAATGCCAGACTTGAAATGCACCCATTTAAGAATTTTACACACAGTTGGTTGGATCACATCTGATAATGCCAGACTTGAAATGCACCCATTTAAGAATTTTATTCTCCGCCTTGGATCCTCTGGGAGCCAAATGTTACCAACATGCCCTGCTTTCAGTCCTAACAGTGGGTGAGGACCAGGCAGGGAGGGGTCTGTGATGCTGGCTCTAGAAACCCTGCCTGCTGGCTCACCACTGGACACTGCTGAGATCTCCTAGGGCCCTCAGCGCCCCAGGCCTGAGCCCTCACGGCCAGCTCTGGAGACAGGTCCCCTCTGCTCAGTCTGAAGCGCAGGGTAGGTCTTCCAGCAAGGCACTGTCCCGCCTCCAGCACACCCTGATTCGCTGCCACTATCACCCCAGGCCTAACCCAATGGTGCATTTAATGTAGGCCACAGCCAGAAACTGCTCTGTTTGGTTAAGTGCGCCTGGCTCAGTAGATGTCTGCAGGGACATGGGAAAGAAAAATGTCATCCGTAGTCTCCTCTGGCGGGAGGTACATGGCACGAGGGCCACTAGGGTGGCCCTAGGACAGAGATACAGCCGAGGCAGGGCGAGGGTGAGAGGGTGGGCGGGCTCTTGCCAGGAAAGCCCCACTGTATCCATTTTAAATGTGGAGCTATCACTGTCCTAGTTTCGCTCTTATTTTCTTTAACTTGTCACCACAGGGTCACTTTTGCAAGCCACATCCCTTCTTTGGGCCTTGCTCATCTCCTCTGTGAGCTGCAGAGCTGGCTGGGGGACTGCGGGAGTGGGGCTCACAGCATGACCATCCTCTCATAGCGGAGAGGCAGATGGCGACCAAACATGTGACCCCAGCAGCTTCCAGCTGACACAGGCACAGCTGTACTCTTGGGACCTTTTCTTACTCAGCAGCTCCAGGAAGCCGACAGCTCCACTGGAAGCTGTGCTCCATTAAACAGACTCGGCAAGCAGGTGAGGGGCCACGCAGAGTCTGCACTGCTTGCTGTGCCCATGCCCGCTTGTCTTAAGTTCTTCCCCATGATGGCTCTGACAAGTGACACACATTCCTCGTGACTCAGTCACGGTGACTGTGACTCACAGCATTCCAGGGTGCACACTCAGAATGAGGACCTCAGAATTTCCCAGCCTTTGTCAGGCAAGACCCTAAGTCTGGGAAGGTTCTTAAAACCCAGGTTCTGTATTCTAAACAAACAACAAGAAACAAACAAAAATACCCCTCCTGGATATTCTCAATCTCTGAGAAGCTACAGGAAAATGCTCATCTGCACAGCTGCAAGGGAAAAACCAAACATGGCACGCACTTCCCAGGAGCTTCTGTAGATGATCTGAAGCACTGTGTGGTCCTTTGACCAAGGCCCCTGAGCCCCTGGCCTCTCTCTTTTCTGGTCTGCAGAGGATCTGACTCAGAGAGGGACCCAATCTTCTCTATCCAGAAATTGTCCCACTCCTTGCCCAACATCTGCCTTTGGGAAATGTTCTCCACAGGAAGTGGTTTTGCTAATTGAGTGTCAGTGATTACAGCCAACAGGCACTGTCCCTGTTCCTGCTGCTCTTCTCTCCTGGCCAGACACATGGCATGAGTGGGAGACCCCAAGTTTGAGAAGGAACTAAGCCAGGAGGCAGAGGGAGGAAGGCAGTGCCAGAGAGGAGGTGGCCGGGACCAGCCCATAGCCCTGAAGCCCGTCCTGGCCACGTCCAGCCTTGATGTCCTATATGCCAAGTACAAGAATTTAGAGAAACCCTCCTTGAAACTCCCCACTCCCAGATGCAGGAGAAGAAACAGAAATGTGATAGAAACACCAGGGGTGGTGGCACAGCCGGAGCACACACGTGTCAGTTGGATTAAAAAATCAATAAATAATTAGAGGAGGAGGAGAAAGACTGAGAGTGAGTCGTTGAGGTCTGTGCTGGTCAGCACGCCTTGGAAGCCCCCACCCTGACCCCAGGACTCCATGGAGGTAGCCCAGAGCTCAGGCACTCAGGGAATGCTGGCTGGGGGACCTGTGTAGCCGAGGAAGGTCACAGGCGCTCAACCTAGTCCTCCAGGGAAATATGCCAGACGCCACAGCCAGTGTACCCCCAGGTGTCATCGGAGCCTTGTTCCAATTCAGGAGCTGGCTCAGGAAACGGACAAGAGGCTTCAGCCGTGCAGCAGGTGCTCCCTTCCTGGAGCCAGGGCTTCTGCCTCATTTCAGCCAGTGTGTGTTCTTCTCCCCCGAGCACAAAGGCACGTGAAGTAGTCAAGTCTGCTCTCAGCACAAATCAGAACCACAGAGACTGATGAGGAAAGAGAACTCCCATAGGTGGAGGAGGCGACTGCTCCTGCTGGAAACACATTCCTATGAAGACCCCTGGGGTCAGCTGGCTCACTGGGTCATCATCAGTAAGCTTCAGGAAGAAAGGGATGGCGGGTTGTCACACTGTGACATCGAGAGAGGCCAGGCTTCCTAGACACAGGCAGGAGCGTCTGCCCCCGTGGCCGTGCAGCCCAGCATGGCTCCCTCCTGGAGGTAACTGCCACTAACAGACATCCCAGCGAGCATGGGAGTTTCAGAGTCAGTGTTGGACCCTGCAGGGGCAGCTGGCCCCTGTCCATCTCTCCTGGGAACTTGTCTGTCTGCATAGACTACAGGAGTTTTTAAAATAAGCCCTCTAAGCCAAAATAACTACCTTTCCCAGCATCTTCCCCAACTCCAGCACCGGGGCAGCAGTATGGCGAGCTCTTCAGCCCCAGACAGGTTCTAGGACACGCCATGTGACCCTGGCAGAGTGCAGTGACTTTGCTGAGCCCATGCTGCCTGAGGTGGGAGGGCAGGGAGCTGTGAGCAGCAGCTGGGCACGGCCCCAAGGCTGGCTCTGGAAGCTCCCTGAAGGCAGTGGCTCTGGCGAGGTGCTGGGGCTGAAAGTGGCAGGTGCGACGCAGTGGGTCTGTCCTTGACTGCTGGAGCATCATCTCCCCGTGAAGATCCGGATTTTGTTAATGGCTGCCAATGTGGCCGTCACGTTGGATTCGAAGTCTCCATCATGCACCCCTGTCTTGCGGAATGCTCCCGCCGAAGGGTTGTTTTCCCAGTAGTGGTGCCAGTTGCCCTTGCTGTCTGCTCCGAAGCCGTACAAGTCTACCTGCAGAGGCAAAGGTGAGAAGGGGCTGTAGGACACAGTGGAGTCCCCAGGACAGCGAGTCTGTGGGCACCCCAAAACTCTACATGTGGGTCTACACCCAGCATTCAGACCAATACCTCTCCAGCTTCCTCGAGTTCCCAAGGCTCAGGGAAGTCAAAGCAAGTCAAGCAGAACTCAATTATTGTGCCAGCCAGCGGGCACCGGGGAGCAGACAGCAGGTGGGCAGTCCCAAGGTGAGACTGCCTCTCTGGAGCAGAGAGCAACCTCTCCTTCAACGCTGCAGTCCTGAGACAGGGCAGCACTGGGATGCGGACAGGGCTTCAGAGCCAGGCCAATAGTCCCCTCTGTGGCTGGCCCTGGCTGAGCCAAACCACTGCTCTGAGCCCCACTGTCCTTGCATCCAAGAATGACATTCATAAGAGGCAGGCGACAGGCACTGATCCACTCCTTCCCATCCATCCGGCTCAGTGGCCTTCAGTGCAGGGGGCTGGACCTTAACATGTCTGACAAACATGACTGAGTACTAAGCACTGAGGTGGGTTTGTGAACAACAGTATAGGAATCCTAGCAGCCAAATTGATAAATTTGGAATTTAATTAACTGAGCTCAGGACCACTCATATACAGACCTCCCTGGTTCACGGTCCAAACAAGTGGCCCCAAACTGGAAAGTTAAGAGTTTTTAAAAGAGAGAATCACAAAAGACATCTTGTTTAAAACAATTTAGCTATAATCTTACATTAATTTTTGGTTGACACCTGTATCTTGCTTCTTTGTTGAGCAGGTTAATTTTTCTCCTGTAGGTACGGCTCATTACCCCTGAGTGATTTCCATTCTCCTGAATACAGGGCACTGGTTAAATGCAGGGCTTAAGATGACATCAGTTATGCCACTTAAGCTACAATAACCATGTACCTGGCACTGTCACCCAGAGACCACCGGGACAGTGCTTGAGAAATCAGAAACATGCTTGGCAGGCCTTGGCTATGGAGTGTACTGTAACAGAACAAAGTCACTGCTAAAACCAAGCCATTCTTGGAGGAACAGGGGCTGAATTTGGGGCTTCATTCAATCCTGAGGAGCTGGTGATCCAGGGGTTACAGGGGGATCTTCTGAGCAGGGAACATCAGAGTGACTAGAACTTGAGTTCTAGGGAACTTGACTGACTAGAAGATGACCAAAAAGGAGCCCATGTGGAGAGGCCTCTAGGGAGAGCACGTGTAATGGATGGAGGCCCACAGGACATATTTGATGGGTCCCAGGGACACAGCAGGGCAGGGGACAGCTCCGTGGAAAATGCAGTTTCTTAGCAAATGTCTGCATGGACACAGCTCACGGAGCAAAGGCATCAGACTGGACAAGAAGGAGAGACGGGAGCCCCTTTTCTGAGATAGGACCCCAAGGGGTAAGTGACCTATGGACTGGAAAATTTGGGTGGGAGCTGATAGGGGACAGCAGGGGATGGGAAACTGGACTCCCCTGCAGGCCCCTTGGCCTCCCTCCTGGTTCCAACTAAGAACCCAGTGGAATGGGAGCAGGGATCCGAGTGTCTCACCTGAACTCAGGCCCAAGGAGGGGAATCAGAGCCTGTGCCTGCTCCTCTGCTCTGGTACCTCACCTGGTGAATCTCTTGGCAAGATCACAGGGAGGTAGTGGAATCCCCAAGCATCTGCTTCCTACCTCCAGAGGTTCCGGTGAACCAGGCCTGTGCTGTGGCTAGATCACTGATCATAGCTCCCCAGGCAGTTTGCACAGCAGTGCAAGCCATTGCTTGAGCCATTTAAGTGACATAGCTCGTCCTTTGTGGACTCTCCCTGCTCGATCCTGTCCTTCCTTTGCTGCTGAACCTGAGCTCATCCTGGTTCACTTTGGACAATGACCAGAACATGCCAGATTCTTGGACCCCAGAACTTTTTCACAGAACACTGTGACTCCTGAAAGTCCCCATGACGTGGACCTCAGAAGGCCCAGGCAGAATCAGAGCAGCTGAGTTTTGGCAGAGTGGCAAGTCCCAGTCCCGAATGGTCTACAGCACACAGAGGTCACATACCTCGTCACAGACGTGCAGGGAGAGGATGACCGAGAGAATGCCAGTGGATGGGTACCGCCCATGACCCTGCAGCCAGTTGTCGAAGACATATTTGATGAAGGCTGGGTGGTAGATCAGGATCTTAAGAAAGAAGAGGGACCCTGGGTGAGTCTGGCAGGCCAAGCACACAGTCCTCTGCTGGGTGCTACACACTGTCATGGTCATGGGGCCATGGGAATACAGCTGAGGAGAGGGACCCTGAAAACCACCCTGAACTATAGGCTTCGGTGCTGGGGTAGGATGCACCACAGTAGAGATGCAGAACCCGAGGGTAGGAAAAGCCAGAGAAGATGAACTCAGACACACCCAGGATGAGAAGGCTCAGGGAGGTGTGGGGAGGCCAGCAGGTGAGACCTGAGCTCAGCAGTTCAGGAATCAGCATGAGAAGGCAGTGACATCCTGTCCCCCTAGCCTTGAAAGCCACCTGCTTAGCCTGGAACTGGTCATTTGTGGGAATCATTTTTATCCCCCAAAATGATTGGACATGCATGACTCATGCCCCCCCCCCCAACCCCTGCAGGGCTCAGGAAACTTTGGCTACTAGGTGGTACCTCAGGGGCTGGTGCCACAGGCCTGGTGCAGCCTCAGCACGCCCAGCCTGTCTCGAGTACCCTCTTCCCATGGGAGAAGCCAAAACAGGGCCACACCCTGCCTAGTGGAGCCTCTGCTCACCTTGTCCTGTTTCACTTTGATCTTCTTGGGGACCGGGACATAGGTGCTGAAATCAAGGCAAGAGGAGGTGATCAGTGTAGTGAGGGGTCTCCTGGGAGTCTGCAGGGTGAGGAGGGCAGCAGGACGTCCCCTGCTTGTCCCACTCCTCTTAATATACCTCCTCCCTGTCCCAGCCAGGCCTTTGCTGTGGTCACTTCCTATGGACACCAGAGGGCAGCCTTGACTCATTCTAGGGTGCTCCATAGTCTGAGGCCCATTTTCCCAGAGATGCTGGGAAAGGGAACTGGTTCCAGCACAGTTGTGTGGCCCAGCTCCTTTCTGCCTGGGCCGTTCCCTCACCACCTGCTCACCCAGGCCCGAAGGCACAACCCAATGTGGTCCCAGCCCCCATGCTCCTGGGAGGCCTGGCCAGATCGGGAGGCCTGTGAAATGCTGGCCATGGAGCCACTCCTCCTAGGAGAGCTGGCAACACAGAGATCAGACCCAGCTGGTTACACAAGTGCTGGCTCAAGTTCAACCTCAGGCAAGTTGTTTGGCTGGGCCCAGGTTCCAGGAGCGCGACTGCACCCCACCTCTCACCCCAGCCCAGGCAGTTTTACACTTCAAAAAGCAAAATTATTTTAGGGGGCACTTGAGAATTAGGAGGGTACTTGGAGAAGCAAATTCAGGGTCCTTTTGGGGTCCTTGTAGGAGAATGGTCAAGTCTAGGCTTCGTGGATGTGCTGGGAGGAGCAGGGTCTATGTGTCCTGGAGGCTGGTGCCCAGGATAGCAAAGTCTGTGTGGCATGGGAGAGTGGGGGCGGCCTGTGGGGGTACTCACTGGGAGATGGTGCCGGTGGTGGTGGCACTGACCACCCACTGCAAGTCGATGGTCTTAAAGGGCACCAGGATCATGCTGACATCCTCCCCCAGCTCCCGGAAGCTCTCGGGATACACCAGATGATGCGTGGTTTTGCTCCCCACGTCAGCCTCGAACCCCACTGTGGGCGCCCTGTTCATCCTGGGAAGAGAAGGCAGTGAGCTACCTCCGATGGCTTGGTGTCACAGGGTACAGGCCTGGGGCTTGAGCACTATGCTGGGCTGTGGCCACAGGTGAGTCCCCTTTGTCTCCAGCCCTCAAGGTCCCACAGTAGGGATAGGTGAGACACAGCCCAAAGGCTCTGAAATCTTTTGCTTTCCTGACTCAAGTGAGTGTAACGCTCCCCATAGCCACTGACTTCCTTTATGGGGCCACACCTAGAGCTATTTTAGGACCTCTTTGAGTGATTCAAATATCTAAGCGCAGACAGGTTGCTCCAGGTGATTAGCAAATACCAGTCTTGAACCTGAGTCTGCCTGACTCAGCCCGACTCTATCCCAAACACAGATGGGTACGCTGAGAAGCCAGGTGAGATGTTCAGGACATCATGGCAGAGAAAACAAGGAACAACTGAAAAGGGGTGATGGGGAGACCAGGTGAACGTTTACACGGAGAGCGCTGTATTACATACAGTACAGTCATGTTGCCAAGAAAGGTGAGACTGGTGTGGGTAAAGTGAGGGCCGTATTTTGTAGGGCAGTGGATGTTTTACACTAATAAAGCTTTGAATTTAAACACTCATTGTGTGTGTGTTTTTTAAATCACATCTTGCTGATCACACATTAATGGTGATTTCTGTCCAACAAAAGCCGTTTTAATGTGGCCCTGGGCTCCGTGTTCACCAGACCTGGCACTGTGAAACTCCTGGCTCTTCCTCAAAGTTAAAATGACCATGACAGGTAAAAACATTTTTAATCAATTCAGGATATTGAGGCAGCCACAAGAGTGCACCTGAAGACATGAGAGAATACTCCAGAACTACTTTAGAACGTGGCAAAAGTGCGGAGATAAGGGTGTTTGAAGTGAGAGGAAGCATTTTGAGTGGGTATTAATGGCAGCATATCCTTTACTGTAAAACATTTCTAAAAATTTAAACACCCTACTTTTCTGTCACTTCAAGTCAAGTCACAGAGGTGGAGAAATGGAAGTCTGTTCTAGAAGATAGCCAGGGATACCCAGTGCTGTGTCTGCACACCAGTCCCACCGCCCTGTCCAGCAAGCATGTGAGGGAATGATGATCACTCTCAGAAACCCAGGGAAGACTTGGGCTTTTATGGTGTCTGTGTTACTTGGAGCTGGAGTAAACACCAGCTCGCCATAAAAGGTCAGGCTTCTGTAGTGGCCTCGACTGCAGGCTGGGCAAATGAAAAAGGTAGAACCAGAGTCTTCCACCAACCTTGCCCACACCAAGGCTGCCCATGCCACACTCAGCCCACTGCTGACCTCCCAGGTATGGCTTCCTCTGTGCATCCAGGGAGGCCCTTCTAGGCTGTCCCATCCAGCAATGCATAGATGGGGAAACAGTGCCTGAAAGGGCACAGTGAGAAGCCTGTGGCCCTGTGAAAGTCCAAGCCCCAACACCAGGCCTTAGACCCTGAGCCAGGATGCTTTCCACAGCTCCCATAGCCTGCTGGGAGCAATGAGTGGGGTGGGCTCCCGCTGAGGGCTGCATCTGCACCTGAGCACGAAGTCATGGCTGTCTATCTCAGGCCCATAGGAGGACTCCCGCAGGTTGCCTGAGTTGCCCACGACAGCACAGCGCCGGCAACTCCCAGATTTCTTCTCCAGCACGGGGTCCACGTTCCCGGGCACCACGCTGAACAGCTCCCTGATGGTGTCGCTCAGGTTGCTGGGCTTCTTCTCCCTCTGCAGCCTCTGTAGCACAGGGCAGAAGAAGACAGATGTTCATAGAGGGGCTTCCTTGGGCAGATGGGTGTCACTTTCCGGTCACCAACAGCCAAGACTCCCACAGTATGATTCTGTGCCCTTATTTATAGGACCTTGGACGTGGGGCTTTGACACAGCTGCTCCGCCTTCTCACCAAAGGGCCTAAGGGCTGCTCAGGAAACAGAAAGGACGGAAAGGAAAGGTTCATTCACTCTACAAAAATCCCAGAGCATCTACTATGTGTAGGAAGTTGCACAATCCTCTGGAGACAGGAACGTGGCCCCGCACAAATTGGGCATGTGGAGAGGGGCAAGGGGCCCAGATAGGACCTTCACCCACCTGCTCCTCCCTTGGGGTACCCTTTAAAAGGCCCCCCCAACCCCTGATGATCACAGCCAGAACACTGGGGTGCCATTCACTCCTGCTATGCTCCTTGGGTCCTTGCAAACCCAGCCATAGTTCAAGGCTCTGTACCACTATCTGTGTCTGCACAGGAACAGCAGGGGTGGGTACAGAGATAGTCTCTGGCTTGACCCTGCCTCTCACTGATAGCAGCAGGACCCAGTCCCACTCCCACATCTGACACCCTCACCTTCTGCTTCCCAGCAGCCCAGGATCTCTGAACTGCAGCCATATAATCAGCTGTTCTAGGGATGCACAGAGATCTCTGACATCAGATGCTTTGCACCTTCTAAACCGCAATCCAAAGTTCAGTGAACCCAAAACTTCCTGCCTGGCTCCCAGGCAACCTGCAGTGACCAGTCTTCTTGCTTGCCTAAGACCGAGGGGTCCCCTAGATGCAGGACTGTCAGTGCTAAAACCAGGCTGTGTGGGTCACCCTCCTGGTTGCCACCCTATAATACCACTCTGCCCAGTGTCCCTGGGAGAGCTCTAGCCAGGCTGTGTAGGGGACCCCGTGGAGTTATATCCTTCCTCAGCCACAGTGAGCTCGGCAGGACTCTGAAAGAGTCCATCAACCAATGGCGTGGTATCATTTCAGTGAGGCAGGCAGGTTCAGGGACTTGTCCCAGCTGTCAACCAGGATCTGAACCCTGGCTATTAGGAACCTCCCTTAAGGTTCTTCCCAGAACACAGCCACTGCTTCCAGTTCTTGGGCTCCTAAGTGTTGGAAATCAGGGGAGGTGGGCTATGGGGTGAATCCCATCAGCCATCCCAGCCCCAGGGACACAGTGGCTAGGAGACAGTGAAGTGGCTAGAGATGCCTTTGGGCACTATTCATGAAGCCAGTGACCAGGTGAGTGTATGAGAGATCCTTGCCTTGGGATCTGAATACCCATAAAGGATGGTTCCCAGGAGAACCCTCTCTTTTCTAGTGAGAACGATATAGCATTGTTTTAAACTTAAGGGCATTAGATATGTGGGATGGTTCAGACATGGTCTGAGGGACCCCAGAACCTCACATGTTCAAATTTGATCCCTACTGTGAAGCATTACCAAGGCGGGGACTTAGTGTGATTATGATGTTTAGAGCAGGCTTTCTGATTATGATTAGAAAGGGTCACTTTCTAATCCCATCCCCCCACCCACAGACACTCCTGTGCCTTGCTACAGAAGCCACCCCCTCCTGAGGATTCTGCCAGTAGGAAGGCTATCACCAGATGCCATTTCTCATCTGTATACCTGCAGATTAATCTCTTTATAAAAGAGTCCACCTCTGGTGTTGCATTATGACAATGGAAACTGGACTGGTACAACATGACCCAGGGAAACACAAGGCACATTCTCCAGACCACACTTCACACCCAGCAGCATGGTTTGCATAACAGAAGGGAAAGAAATCATACTGGGGAAGAGGGGAGAAAATGGGATCCCTGGGCATCCCTGGTGGGAGGTGTCCAGTGGTAGAAAACAGGCTGGCAACTTCTCGAGGGTAAGCCTAGGACTCTCCCATAACTCAGCAATCTCACTCCTAGGAACACCGCCAGAAGCGGAGAAGCAATGCATGTCCCAGAACGAAGCAAACAAAATATGTTAGGCACCACTAGTGCAGCCCCTTGCCCACGAACTGCCTTTTCTGTTAAACCAAAGCCAGGCAAAGGGCAGAGAGGGGCACAGTGAGACACCAGCCAGATGAAAAGACAGAAGAGAATTACTGCCGGAACGGGTGCCTTGCTCTGTGGCACACTGTCTTTAACGCCCTCAGCTCGTCTCCCCAGTGACACAACCTGCACTTTAGGATCTCAGATCTGCTCCTAGATCTGGGGCTTAGACATGGGGAAGGGCTCACCTGGGTTCTGTGATGACAGCACCGTGAGAGAGCCAGGGAGAGGCCGGAGGCCAGCCTGAGCTGCCTTCCTGTGGCTCAGCACCCTAATCCATCTACACCGGCTACCTTCCCTGCAATTAGGTCTCAGCTCGGAGTCTGTCTGCCCAGAGACTCCTAACGACCCCAGTCACAGAGGTCAACCTCATACCCTTCTCTTTATCCCCAGCTCCTTCCCATACCCAAGCGCACTGCCAGATGTGCCCACCTTGTGCACCCTCAGCCTTGTTTCATGGCACCTACCATCCACCATGTGTACAGAACACTGCACCAGACACGCACAGAGCTTTTTCCTTGCCGTCCTTACCCAAACAACTCAGTATGACCACATTTGTCTTGGCACTGACATTGTTTTAGGTATTCTAAGTTATCTGGACATGGTTTCACCCACACAGCAGGTGATGTGTAGGTTCTATATGAATACTATGCTATTTTGTATCAGGGACCTGGGCACTCATGGTTTTTGCTGTCCAGAACAACCTGGAACTAGATGCTGAGGAACATTTACATGTGATTTGTTTCTGGTCTGCATGACTGGCCAAATGAAAATTCTGTGAGAATAACCTTGTTTGCATTTTAACGCCTATAGAAGGTTGCCAGGATCATTCCTAGAATCTGAAAATGTAACCTTCCTGGAGGAAGGGCCCCTGTGGAGGAGGCTGCTTAGGGTATCTAGATCATGACTCAAGATGGTCCCTGATCCCAAGACAGGCGTCTGCAGAGGAAAAAAGGGAGATCAGAGAATCAAGGAGACAGGAGAGGAGGCTTGCAAAGGAGGAGGCAGCCATGAACCATGGGACTTCAAGGACTGCCAGGAGCCAACACTACGTGCACCTTAATTTTGGACTTCTAGTTTCTGGAAGTGTGAGGACACACATTTCTGTTGTTTTAAGACACCCAGTATATGGCCATTGGTTATGTCACCAGAAATTAATTCCCTACAACTTGCTCTGACTTACACATAGATGCCCAATGCACAGAAGGAATGAACTACAGTCTGAAAATTGCCAGATGCCTGGCATTCGGCTCTGGGCACCCCTGTCCCCACCAAGCCCTGCCCCAGGCCACAGGTCTCACCAGCCACCACTGGTAGGTGTCCTCCTCCAAGACTGCATTGTGGGCCGTCAGCAGAGGCTGCACAGTCTGGTTGAAGCGCTTGTCGAACCAAGCTGAGACTTTGCGCTGGCTGATGCAGTGTGTGCAGGTGCAGGGTGGGGGCTTGATCAGCTTCCTGAGGTTCTGAGACAGCTCCAGGACCATCTGCTTGGGGAACCAGGCTGCGGGCACTGTGGTGTGTGCGAAGTTCAGGACAAAGGAGGTGAGGAAGATGAGGAGCACCAGGAAGGTGAGCACTTTGAGCACCTTCTTCTGTGTGGTCATCATTTTTGCTTCCTGCTGGGGAGTGATGAGGGGTGGCCCCACCTCTCTGAGCAAAGACACAAAGGAAAGCCTAGAGGCCAGAGCTCAGTGGGAGAGGACAGCGGGTCCCCAGCAAGGTCTCAAGGGCAGCTTAGGCCAACGTCGTTCCCATAGAGAAGCAGCCATCCGTGGTGTGTTGGGCTTGTCCTTTAGCCTGCTTCTTCTGCAATTCTGGAAGGGACACTGAGGTCTCTAGTCCTACTCCTAATTAAACATAATAACAGAGATTTCCTGTCCTATTCAATCCAGGGACCTTTGGGAGATGAGGGACACCTTGGTGACCCCCTGCTCTGGAAAGTATGGTGTGTGATGAACCTTAATTAGATGCTTGACTCTTCCATGCTGTCGCCAGGGAGGTGGCAGTTAAGTGCCTCTAGATGAGGGCACTGAGGCTGTCATCTGCATTAGAAAAGAAGAAAGGAAGATAACAAGGGTTACAAAAATGTTTTTCTTTTCACACCTCCAGTCGTGCTTTCCACAGTCTCTCCCTCCTGTGTTCAGCGCTGCGCTGCGGGAACTCAGGGCAGCCTCAGTGTATGTATGCATAGTGGGGCACCTGTGTCTGTTTGCAAGGTTGCTAAGCACACACCCTATCCACATCTCCACAGCTCAAACCCAGCACAGCAAGCATTCCACACAACAAACATGTGACCAGGCAGCAACCTGCTGAGCACAGCACGGGGGTGACTATGACACATGGGTCACCTGCCTCTCTGGCTCCTTCGTTCCTTCTGTAACAGCAAGAGTAAGAACAAATCGGAACCCTCCACATCTGAGGATATGGAGGGACAGTCTCAGATCACTGTCTTCCAGTGGGCAGGTGGGCAAGGGTCTCTGATGGTGGGGAACGGAGGGGACAGAGGGCGGGGAGGCCATGCACGCTTGCTTTATGCTCCAGTCTTCTCATCCTGAGCCTGTTTTCCTCTGTAGAAGGTGCACTGGACTCCCACCTTCTGCAGTAAGCACCTGCATCTTCTGCCTCTGCTTTTGGGCAGAGAGGAAGGGGTGTTGGCCTATGCATGCAGCAGGAAGAAATTTGGAGAAGCTACTTATCTCTTAAAGAAATAGCTAACATTTAAAGATCTGTTTGGAAGCACCAGCTGGAACACTAGCCCATGGGAAGGAAAGTGGTGCCTCGTGAGGCCCAGACAGGGAGTGGCAAAGGCCAGAACGAGCCAGGCCTGCACCTTGACTTTTCAGTTACACAATTCACCTACTTTATTTATACAGCATGTTGTTTGTAAGCTGAGGCAACATGACTGACCCTCTGCCCAGGGCATGACCTTCTCCAGAAAAACCGTCCCTCCTGGTATGGCTCTTACTCATTCTTTTTTTTCAATTTAATTTAATTTTCATTTATCCCCCCCCCCACGGGACACTGTAGTGATTAATTTAATTTTAAAGAGGATAAAACTAAACAGAACAAAACAGAACAAAGCAGATCAGAAGAAAACAATGAGTGACACGGATTTCAAAGCAAGACAACCAGAGATCTTCACTGTCTATCATATTGTCTCTTGTTTTCTTCCAAATAGTTGTCCATATCTTCACACATAATGAATTCATACAAAATAAAATAGTATTAAATTGATCAGAACAGGATGATGACGGCATTACAGGCCTTCAGAATCAGCCAATAGGGAAATCAACAATGGCTGCCATAATGCTTCTCGTTCTCTTCAAAATAGCTGTCCATGCCTTCATGAATGTTGAAATTAAACGATACAAAATCGACTAAAATCACTCTGAACACAGAATAATAGTATTGCTGGATTTCACATCATGACGGTACAGAATCAGCACTGGCTATCTTAGTCTCTCTTTTTCTTCAGAGTAGCTGTTCATTTCATCATATATAATGGATTCTCATAAACTGTTTAGGAGAAGTTCTATGCATGTATGAGTCTCTACAAGTATACCTATCCTTTCTGTATTAGAGGGAAAAAAAAATTCCTAGAAAAACACGAAACAAAAAAGACAAATAAATAACAATAGCAAAGAGCCCAAAACACTGACAATATAGGCCTTCAAAACAAGATAGGAGAACATAACTGGGGTTGTTATCTTACATAATGATCTTCAAGAGTCTTAATCTTTAGGGCTCAGCTGGTGCCACCCCTGAGGCCTCCCTGTCCCCGAGGCCCTGGCTCTCTTGTCTGCACTGCTGATTCACTTCCCCTCCCCAGCCTGGGAGCTTCCTGAGGACAGAAGCTGTCTCACTGTGCTTTTTGCCTGTCCCCTGGCACGTGGGGCTAGTGAAGCTCCTGGTGGCACAAAAGGAATGCAGGAAAACAGGGAGGTGCACACCAGGCGTGCAATTCAGAGGCAAATCTGAGCCAGAAAGCAAGGATCCAGGGCCAGGTGATTGTCATTCTCACCAGGCGGCACCTCCTCATACTGTGTGACCATGAACAAGTGATCTGGCCTCTCCAAACCAGTCCTTCAAAGGCAGCCAACAGATTCTGGTCATAGTTCAAGCCATCAGCTCATGAAGGTTACCTATTCATCTAATGTGTTCGTTACTGAGCTATAGGTCCCCTGCCACACCAGCACTGGGTGGTGTCTAGGTCTTGAAAAGCTCTAGGTGACAGCTCTGAGGCAGCCACAGGCCTCAGTGCCTTGGGACAAGGGAAGCTGGGGTGGTGTCAGGGGCAGGACTGGGAAGCCCAGGAGGTCGGGGGACATAAGGGTGGGGAGCGGGCGCGTCAGGCGGGGAAGCTCAGTCAGGGCTTACAATAAATCATAGACAGAAGGTTAAATATCACATGGCCTTTCTTATCTGAGAAACTGAAGTATAAATAATTGAGGAGCAAAATAAAAGATAGATGATGGGAAAGGGAGATAGACCACGTGAAGATGGGAAGAGGGTGGGGGAAGTCGGAGATAGAAGGCAGAGAGGGGATGAGGAAGTAAAAAGGTTTAAGACTAAGATGTGAGATAGGTTGATGAGTGTACTTATCACAGCACAGACTAAGAAAAAGCGGGGAGAGACAAAAATGAAAAGGGAAAAAATTCCAATGGTACTAAAGCTCAAAGAAGAAAAGGAAGAAACCTGCCAGAGGGTCTGAGCTAGATGATCTGGTTTCATGATATCCGTATTTACAATGAGCAGGGCTGGCTCCCCCTCCTGTCCCCATGCCACTATAGAGATGAGTTCTCTCACAGGGTGACAGCTGAGCACAAGGACAAGGCAGATCCAGGCAGAAGACTCATCCCTACAGCATCCTGGCTTGGTGGGAGACAGGAATTCTCTGGGCTGATGTGAAGGTGCGGTGAGTACTGTGGGTTGAGGGCAAGGCCAAGATGTCTGTGGCAGGCTCCTCCTCTCACATCCTGGGGCAGCATCTCTGGAGCCCAAGGCCACGTACTCATGTGGATCCCAGTTACCAGAGCTCCTGGGCTGGTATCCTTTAGCACCCTGGGCTAAACTTGCGAGGAAAAGCAAGCCCTCTGCATCCCTTCTTAGACCCCAGGGAAGTAGAGAAGGTTGTGGGAGCCACGTGATCTCCCTGAGCTCTCTCAAGTGCCAGCAAATCTGCAGATGCCAGGCTGGCCAGCTCTAGTGTTCAGCAATGGAACCCAGGCCAGATCTCCAGGGAGCTAAATGCAGTGTCCGCTCTGCAGTGGAGGTCACAAAGAGGCAGAAAGGGAGAAAATTCCCAATTTTCTTCTGCAAAGTGGCTGTCAACACCAGGCCACAGGCTGAGAACAGTGGGAGAGGCATGGGACCTGTGCACATGACAGTCTTCAGCACAACTGTGACCCAGGCTAGCTCCCTTCCGAGGGCTTGGAAAGTAAGGGGTTGACACTGGCTGTGCACAGGTAACCCAGATAGCGCGCCCTGCAGCTCTATAGCAGCTCCGGAGCACTGCAGGACCTGGTGAAATGGTCCGGTGAGGTGAGGAGCCTAGAACGGCCACAACTGTCTTCAGCAAGGCAAGGCAAGCAATCATCGTGCTTGTTTTCTTGCAGTGAGAAACAGGTCCAGAGAAAGCAAGTAACTTCTCCAAGGTCACAGAGAGATGGCCCAGGTTCCTGCTGCCTACTAGGTTTCTCCAGGTAGCAATGCCCCATAATTCTATTCCATCCATGCCTCACTCAGCTTTGCTCTTCCCTTTCTCACACTCTCCTTGGGTTGATTATTGTTCTCTTCCCACCCTCTTGAGATGATAAAACCACCCATTTACCCTCTCTTCTTGTGCACTGCATCTACTGAATTTTCATATTTAGTGCTTCACTTCAGTGGTAGTTTTTAGTTCTACAACTTCTGCTGAATAATTTAATATAACTTCAAGCTCTGTGATAAATTTCTTCATCTTGTCACCTCTCCTCTAGCAATTATTCATCACAGTGATTTTAAAGGCCATGTGGGATCCATGCGGGTCTATTTCAGCTGTCCCCACACCCTCTGGTTCATCTGGCTGTATCACGTGCTGGGGCCAGTGCTGTCCATACTGGGCACGACAGATGTGGAGGCTCTATGCATCCTTCCGGGAGGATGGACCTGTGCCTTATCTGACATGACCCTGGTCCATTTCTGATTGGCTCTTACCCGAGGAGGCAGTCTCTCAAAGAACAACAAAGGCCAGTCTAAAGGCTCTCATCGCCAATGCCCATCACCCACACTGTGAGGCAGCCTTAGCTTAGCTTAGCGTTTCATCTTCGGAGCTGTTTCCTGCTTGGTTTCTGAGGTTCGGGCCAGTGCAGCTTAAACACTAACAAATGCCTCAAAAGAAAAGAATGGCACAGAATGTGGATTCTTCCCTCTGCAGTTTCCTTTGGGTTCCTTAGGTGTTGGCTGATTTACTTGTCCTGAATTCATTCATACACTTTGCCCATCTCTGTCCATCCACATCCATCCATCTGTTTTCCTCCCTGCCCCTTGCAAGACTGCCACCCTTTGAGCTGCATCTCCAGCTCTCTGCTACCTACATATCTGCAATACCTCATGTTGGAAGGGAGCAGAGACCTGTGGACTCACCCCAATTCCTCTCCTTTCTCTCTGGGATCTGCAGAGTGGCAACACTGACCTTGGTGGACATCCTCTTCCTGCCTTAGGGGCCCAGCCTTAGTGATCGGTTGAGTCAGAACATAAAACACACCAGCTCTGGACACACAGCCCATGACTTCTGGGCCACCCCTTCTGGGCATCTTGTTATTGGCCTTTAAAGTCCTGACTGGTTGGCCTCACGTGGTAGTGCGGCATAGCATGAAGAAGACCTGCCCAGGGAGGGTCCTCACACCTGCTGTAGAGAAGAAAAGCTCTTCCCCAAACTGCTTTCCACACCCTGGCCAACAGATACTGGAATCCATTTAAAGAACTCATGAACCTTTTGTGGACCATGGCTTTTGGAAAGAAAAATGTCAGCAACATCAGGATCAAATCCCAGCTCTTCCTG